GTCTCAAGATCTTGTTTAGAAAAGAGTTGGATAATTGGTTCACATGCTTGAGGAGATGAGTCATAGTGGCTCCCAGTACAGTATCTCTTTTGGCCATTTGCATTTCAAAAGGAGTCAAACCTTAAATCAGAAAACGCAAAGCTCTTGATGCAATTTCAGTTACTAATGAGAGAGCAGTGAAGGGCTTTGAGAAGACACTGAATTTCATTCTTTTATGTTTTCATCATGAGCAGAATTGGTAAAATTAGCCATATTATCAGTGCCATGTACCATGCCTCAGTTTCCTAATTTATAAAATCAAGGCTGAGCAGCTGCTTACAGAATGGGCCACCCGGCGACCGAGCAGAACTGTTGAAGTGTCTCCTCACTGCTCCTCTAGAAGCAGGACAGACGGGGGACTTGAGCTGTACCCACTCAGCCTGTTTCCCCAGCCACAGCTGACTCCCCTCCATAGTCCACAGCCGGACAGGAAAGTGCAGATCTTCATAGCAGCCCAAGGTGGCCCCAGAAGCTGGGTCATTTGTGCAGAGCCAGCAGACCTCACGGAGTGAAGCCAGGGTATGCTGTCCTTATGGGGCCTCAGCTTTATCATCTGCCAAATGGGACGCTGCAGTCTCCCTGCCTACCTCTCAGGCTGGACCAGAAGCTCTGGGGTGGGGAAGAAAGTGCTTTGTGGTAAAGGACAAAGCATAGTGACTCTAGCAGCTGCATTTCCATGAGAAAGGGGGAGAGGCACCAAGATGCCGAGTGCTGCCCCAGAGGAAGACCAGCTGGCTTGTGCTTCCCTCCTCCTCTCCCCAGTGACCTCCTTGCTCTGCAAGGGCCACCTCCTCACAGGTATATCCACCTCCAGCCAGAGTGGGCATCTGGTCTCCCAGCCTCTGGGGCTGTCTCCGCCGTAGCACTCACAGGCTGGAGAGGTCACCAGGGGCTCCGGGGAAGCCACTACACTAAGGTGAGACTGACGTGGGTGAGATCTGATCTGATCTGCTGTCCTTTTGCTGACTTCACTCTAGGAAACTCACAGTCAGGGCCCAGCAGAGAAGGTGGACAGCCCAGCCACACCCAGCATCTATGTAGCAGGCAGTCTCCAGTTGGGAGGAGGCTTCTGGGCCCTCAGAGACCCCTCCAGGCCATATTTCTGGTCCAGCTACAAAAGAAAACCCACTCTAGGCTCCCAGGGAGTAATCAGACCTGTGGGCCCCTGAGGCCCAAGCTGGAATTGTGGGGAGACAGGTTCTGGGCCAGCCCTGAGGGATGCAGATTGGAATGTCTTCCTGAGATTTGGAGATCTCCTGGAGCCACACAAGCATGAGCTTATCCCCAGCATCAGTACCCTCCCTGGCCTTCATCCCCTCCCTAACATCCCAGAGTCTCCAGGAAGAAGCCCACTGGCCCATCCCATTGTCAGCCCCCACAATTTTCCTCAAGAATACAAGCCAGATGTCCCTGTTTTAAATGTGTGCTACTGACTTCGAGGACCTCAATTCAGGACTTCACATTTCGTGTCCACTTAATTTCCTTATCTTAGTTTCAATCCATTGCCCTGTGGGTATTATGGCTCCGCGTTGCAGGATTGATAAGCATACCTCGCTCTCATTTTCCCTATTAGCCACCCCCAGTGACTGCTATCCAGCCTTTAATGAAACCCCTGTTGTCAGTCAGAGCTTCAGCTGCATCCCTGTGGCTCTCTACTCCTGCACAGGGGTTCATGACAAATCTCGGCATCTTGCTGAATTGCTATGATTCATCTTTTCACCTCTCAGATGCTCCGAAGGATGAATTTGGGCAGGCTTAGTCTGATTTGTTCTCAGGGAGCACTTGCACAGATTCCTAGTAAGCACTAATTTTTTTTCTCCCATATTGGAGATGCCACCCGGGGCCCCTCACATACTAAGTAAGCATTCTGCCACTGAGCTACATTGCAGTCCTGAAAATAGTTTTATTTTAAAAAAGACATGCTTAGCAAGTACTATAAAACAATTCAGAATACTACAAAGGGAGAGAACATCCTGGAAAGTCACACACTCAGGTTAACCCATGTGGTTTTTGTCTTTTTTCATTGAGACAGGGTGTCACTATACAGCTCAGGCTGGCCTTGAACTCATAAGGTAGCCCAGGCTGGCCTCAAGCTCATGGTGATCCTCACACCTCAGCCTCTCAACAGCTGGCATTTGGTTGTGCACCGCCATGCCTGGCCTCCACCTGCTTTCAACGTTTTGGGTCTCATCCCCTTGGCCCAAAGTCTTCAGTGGAGAAGGGAAGCTCCTTATAGCCCGGTGCCCAGAGGTCTCCCTGCTTTGCCTTCTCTGATGCTACAAAGGAACAAACCAGCACTGCAGGGTGAGAGTATCCCTCAGCCAATGGGGAAGACCAAGTAGTGCTCAGTGCCCATCTCCTAGGGGGCAAATCATTGCTGTTTTCTTAGAGGGGCCCCACGGGATAGAACCCGCAACTGCCCACAGCGAGAGCTAGTTCAGTGATGTGCCTATTTTTGCCTCCCCCCCCCCCTAACTGTTATGGTTTGTGTCTAGGTGTTCCCCCAAAGCCTTGTGCAGTCACTGGGGCAGCTTCTAGAGTTGGTGATTAATTCATGATCCAATGCTGGGATTATAAATGTGAGTGCTACATCTGCCCTGGGGCAGATAATCTGCAGAGAAATTAAGGACAGAAAGAAGCTTGCTAGCTACCACAGCTACTGCTTTTTTCTTTGCTCTTTGCTGTTTTCCACCACCATGTACAGCTGCCCTCTGCCATGTGCCACCCTGCCTTGGAGCCAGCCAAGTATGGTCTGAAACCTCCACTAACTTTGAGCTAAATAATCTTTCCTTCCTTCATGTTGGATGTCGGGTGTTTTGCCCCAGCAAGGAGTGAAGAGAAATTGAGACACTAACTCATCCTCACACACTCACTTCTGCTTCCCTGCATTGCTCCCCGAATCCAAACCCTCGCTTCAGGGGGTGTGCTCAGAAGCAGGGGAATCCAAACGAGCGCATCACTATCTCATTGCAAAAATGCTTCGTTCACATCCCCAGCAGAGAGCCTCTGCAACTCTGCATAAAGGGGACCGTGGGACACATGCTCAAAAATCGGCCCTCCTGTGACCAACAACCCATTCATAATGTGAACTCATATAACGATCTGTCCACCGTAGGCAGTGAGCATCCCTCCATGTCAATAAATAAGATCCTGGTGTTGCACAAAAGGAGAGAAGGTTGGCACTCCCCTGATAAGGGTGGTTAAAGCATTGTCACCTTCTTAGAGGTACCTAAACACCATGTGAGCCTGGAGTGGTGAGGCAGGCTTATCATCCCAGCATTCTGGGAGACAGAGCAGGAGGATTGCCTGAGTGTGAGGCCAGCCTCAGTTGTACAATGAGTTTAAGGCCAGGCTGCACTACACAGCAAGACTTTGTTACAAACAAACAAATGTAGGATTGTGGGGGGCATAAGTCAGGGGGCCGGCACTTGCGTAGCAGACACAAAGTCCTGGGTTTGATCCTCAATAAAGAAAACCCACACACACTTTAAAAACCAGTACATTTGCACAGCTCCAGTTTTCTGGAGCTTCCTTCATTCTCTGTAATTTCCTCTAAGGTGATGGTTATGTCTGCACATGCTCTGGGTCCCTGGATGTCCTGCCAGGGTCTGCAGGGGTGAATTCATTCGAGGCGGCTCGGAGCCTCTTCCTCGCCGTGTGTGTGCAGGGCTTCAATTTCTGCCTTATGTTCCTCATTTCACAATTTGAAGTAAAATTGCCTGTGTCCTGTTCTGCTCGCCTGCCTGCAAGCACCAAGATGTGAGCAGATTTCCTTGTGTTGCTCTTACTTGGACTCTGAAGGCTCTTTGCTCTGTCTTTGCCAATCTCTCTGGTTGCCATTCACTAGGGCTCCAGCAGTTTGCTGTTCCTATAGATCCTGCCAATCCTCCAGTGGCATCCTGGGTCACAAATTCCTCCTGGCCACTCATGGTTTGTGCTTTCAAACCCTTGCTCATGGGAAGGCTGCAAGCACAGCCTCGATAAAATCCCCTTTTCATCTCGACAGCAGCATTTGCAATTACTTATTGGAATTTCAGGGTTTTATTGCCTCTCACAGCAGCCTTCTCTTATGAATTTGTCCAACACTGCGTGTTTTGTGAAGCCAGCTGAATGCAAGCTTCTCTACTCAACAGATAGGTAACCAACCAGTGGCACAGAAAGGTTTATGCACAAGCTCAGAAACACCCAGCAAACCAGTGGCCCGGTCCTAAGTCCTTTAATTTGTTAGCCTTTATAAATACAGTTCCCTTGCCCATGTGGGCTGAAAGAGAGTTCTGGACCCCCATCTGGTTAGGCTGGAGCAAGCAGCTTATGCCTGGGACCACTTGAGGTCTAGGAGGTTGGGTCCATTTGATTCCTTTACCCAGAGAGAGAAGTCCTCTCCGCATGGAGGTTGCCTCCTCCAGAACCCCGTCTCTCCTGCTCCCTCCCCCAACCAGCAGCAAAGTCAGCACCAATTCTTGCTCAGATGTGAGTGACTGTGAGTGGACACAGACAGACAGACAGACAGACAGACAGACAGACAGACAGACTGACAGACCGACAGACCAACAGTGAGACAGACAGACATTCAGACAGGCAGGCAGGCAGGCAGGCAGGCAGGCAGGCAGGCGCGCACACACAACAGACACACACCCCGCGGACATCGAGGAACCCCTAGTCTCTCTCCTCTCTCCCTCTGTTTATCTATCTGTCTGACACACACACACCATGGATACAGAAACAACCCCAAGACTCTGCCTCTCTCACGGACACACAGACAGACACACACCACTGACACAGAGGCACCCCCGGAGGCTGTCTCCCTGTCTGTCCTGTCTGTCTCTGTCACACACACCAGTGCCAGTTTCTGGTTCTTGCCAGCCACTGTCCATCACTCCCCCCCATCCCAACTCCTCCCCCTTGGCCCCTGTTCCCGGTATGTACCCTGGACACCTTCCAGCTTGGTCCAGGTCACTCACCCTCCATCCTGCCCACTCCTGCCCGCTCCCGGGACAGTCTCCGATGGAGGGAGGCAGCGGGCACCTTCTGAGGGGCAGGGTCACGGGGGCCTCCTCTGGGCCCGGGTTCCCCGCCAGAGCGCCCTGTGGGCCGGACTGCGGAGGCGGGCAGGGGGCGCTCGCAGGCCCAGCCCCTGCAGGGCGGGCTGCTCAGAGGCCGAGACTCGAGGAGCGCAGCGCTGCTGCCCGCCGGACTCTGCCGCCCGCAGCCCCACACCTCCCTCCGTTGCCGAGGGAAGGAGGGGGCTCGAGCCGCGCCGTCACCATGGCACCCGGCACACCTGTGAGGGCGAGCCAGGACGCCCTGGCCCGGCTCCCCCTGAACTCTGTCCCCGCGGTCCCAGCTCCCCTCCAAAGTACCAGCAGCCACTTGCAGCCCCAGCGGCCACGCCCAGCAACTCCCTTTCCAGGCGCCCAGCCCGGGTCCTCACTCTTCACCCCGGGGACCCTAGTCTGGTGTCCAGACTCCTGGGTCTTGTTGGGAAGAAGAGGAAAGGTGAATACACAGGAGGCCGTCAGGCGGATTGGGGGAGCCCCATGAGTTCTGAGCGCCCCCAGGAGAGTGGGAAAAGATGTCTGTTGGATGATTACTAGCATCGGAACTACCCAGCCCAGGCACGCCCCAGGTGTGCACCCTTGGGCGATTTCTGTTTCTGCATTTGTGAAATGGTTTGGAAGGAGAAAAGATGGGGTTGTCAAAGCTTCTGCTCAGAACATAGTAGATGCACAGTTAACAGACCCCTGAGCTGGATTGGAAACCACAGTTGTCCTACCCTCTTCAGGTCAGGCACCAACAGATAACATTCAAGATTCTTGCTGTGTGACAGACAGCTGTCAGCTTCCAGGTGAGACAGTGATCCATCTATTTCTTCCCTTATGGGGAGGTGGGGGATTCATTCCCTTTTGAAACTCGCTGGAGTGCTGAGATCCTCTTGTACAAATGGCATCTCACTTGGTCCAGTGGAGCCCAGCCGCTAAGCCGTCTCCACGAGTGGCTGGGGCCTTGGCAGCAGTGTTTGGGAGACCCCCCCCCCCGTGACACTGACACATGGACAGGAGGGACAGTCACCATCACAGCCTCTCTTGGCCTCCCATTAGGAGACACGAATAGTAGAGCAAGTGTGTGAATGGTCACAGTGCCTGTGGGCCACCCGCCTCACTGCCCGCAGCGAGCTCCCCTAATCAGATGTCCCTGTGCCCTTCCTGCTGACATTCCTCTGCGGGTTCCCAGGCACCCCCTGCACACACCCGTTGCACCACCACTACTCCTCTGTGCCTCCTTCTGTCACCAGACGCCGGCCTTCCTTGCTGAGCAGGGCACAGTCCTCCTCCGGGGCCTGTGCGGTGCGCCCTACCCGGTCCGGCTGTCCATCCGTGTTCCACCCTTGGCTCTCTAATCCTACATCTCTAGAACAGCTCTTAGCCCGGTGGCTCCCAGATGTTGCTGCACTTCCGAATAACCAGGGGAGCTTCTTCACCAGCGTCTTCTCCACGCACAGGTCACAGCCCTCACTAGCTAAGTCAGAAAGTCTGGGAAGCAGATTAGCAGTGTGTAAAGATCCCTTAGAGGCCTCCAGTGTGCAGTGGGACTTGACAGCCGCTGTCTGTACCATTCCATAATATTTCTGGCCTAGTGGCTGTCCCCAGGCTGGGTGGGGTCCCTCTCCTTTGGCAGTAGTCTCCTCAGGCTGCTACTACAAAACACCACTAGACTAGTGCCTTGAGAGTAGAAAGTTCCTCCAGCTCATTCCAGAAGCCGGGCAGTCCAAGACGGTCCAGCCTGTTTGGTTGTAGATACTGTCTTCCTCCTCTGTGCGCCCACAGTCCTTCACAGGTGTGCATGTACAAGAGGGGGAGCTCTGTGGGGTCTTTATTTATTTATTTTATAAGGATTTTTTTTTTGTTCCTCGCATGCCTTCAGGGCACGTTTGGCCAGCGAGAGAGTTGTGAGGTTCGAACTCCAGCCACCTGAGGCTGACAGCTTTGTGGAAGCAGCCACTTAAAGGACTGAGCTAGGCCCAGGCCCCCCAAATGCATAATTCTTTGATTTTTTTTTTTTTTTCCGGAACTGGGGATTGAACTCAGGCCCTTGCACTTGCCAGGGAAGCGCTTATTCCACTGAGCCATCTCCCCAGCCCCTCTGTGGGGTCTTTATAAAGAAACTAACCCAGGGCCAGCCAGATAGCTCAGTGGACTAAAGTGCCTGCTTAGGCAGGCGCAGGGACCAGGTTTGATCCCGGGCGTGCTGTGCTGGCCCCACCCCCAGGGTGCATGCTTATAATCCCAGCACTTGGGAAGCTGAAAACAGGAGGCTCACCACGAGTCCGATCTGTGTAGTAAGACCCTGTACTCAATACATAAAAAGAGAAAAAGAAAAGAAAGAGACCAGGGAGATAGCTCAGTAGAATAAGCGCTTGCCTGGCAAACTCAAGGGCCTGAGTTCAATCCCTGGTTCCATAAAGAAAAGAGAGAGAGAGAGAGAGAGAGAGAGAGAGAGAGAGAGAGACTAATCCTAGAGGATCAGGGCCCAATCCCTCAGATATTATTTCGGTGTTTCCTGTGAGTCCCCAAATAGTCACATAGGACTGGTTAGGACATCACGTATGGAGGCATAGAAACATTCAGCCCATCGCGGAGACCCTGTCCCATTCACTGAAATGTGCCTGCTATGGTTTCATCTAAGATGTCCCCCCAAAGGCTCATGTGTTCAGAAGTAGGGCTTTTGGGAAGGTTGAATGGGGGCACTCTAGTCATCAGTAAATTCACTGTTGATGAGGTCACAGCTGACATACTGTTAGGAGGTGGGTGTGCTCGCTGGAGGAGGTGGGTCCCTGGGAGCACAACCCAGAAGAGACGTCCTTGTCCCTCGCCGCCCCTGCTCTCACTCTGCTCTCTGCTTGCTCACTCACTGCTTCCGGCCTGTGGAAGGTGGGCAGCTAGCCTCAGCCACATCCTTCCCCCATGATATTTCTGCCAGCCACGGACTGTGGCCACAAGCCAAAACAAATCCTCCTTGTGCACGTCAGGTACTTCATCAGACCCATCCCAGCTTCCCTTCTGGATGCAGGTCCTTGAGGGAACCCACAGTCCTGCACTAACTTCACATGCCTGCTTCTCTGTAAGCAGAGTTGGAGATGCGTTCTGAGATGTGTGGGAGAGTTGGGAACCAGGAAGCACTCCTCCCCCCGCTAAACCAGCCTCTGAAGAAAATCTCCTTCCAAATGTCTTAAAATGCTTATTAGCAAGCTCTCCCCAAGGATGCAGGTCACTGCCGTTATCTGCATTTATAAATGACAAGGTCTCTAATGGCTGACTTATTCCCACAGTCACAGAGCAGCAGCAGCGGCAGCCTTGGCAGAGAGGCCAGATACGCCAAGTAAGTGAGCTCCCAAATAGCAGGCCCTTACAGGGACAGAGAGAACTCAGTACAGGAAGCCAGGAAGCTCAGGCATTTGTCTGGGCTCTCCACTAGCTCTACATACATTTCCTACTTGCCCTCTGGAACATTCTAGAACATTCTGAAATACTTCCTCAGCAACTCGGTGTTCTCATCTACAAACTGGGAGAGGTTTGGGCCAGAAGTGCTTTCCTACTCTGACAGTCTACCTTGTCCTCTAGAGGGTCCAGGTATGCAGAATCTCCCTGAGCAGGGACTGGAGACACCCCATGAAGTCTAACTCCCTGGCCGGGGCTAACATTCTAGGCAGCCATAGAGCTTTGGGGATGGGCTGAGTCAAGAAGGACTCAGACCATCCTGTCAGGCAAAACATCTCTAGGAATGGTACCACTGAGGACAAGGTAGCAGCTCTCTGGAGGAGTTGGGGTATCCTAGAGGCCTCTGCTAGCCTTCCCCCAAGCCACCGTCTGGGCTCTGGACACTGATTCTAAGAAACTTTGGCTGGTACTCAGCTAGTACCTGCATGCAAGGAAACACAGCTCAACAAGCCTGCCTGTGACAGAGTACATTGTAACACTGTTCGTCACTGTTAATTAGGGGCAAGGATTCTGAAGTTTCATGTCAACTTGTGGATCTGTGTTCAATAGAGAAGTCCAGAGGTGTTGACTGTGAGGACATTCATGCCCACAAATCATGTGGATCTTGTCAAAGAATTCTTTTCTCTTTCTTTTTCTTTTCTTTTTTTTTTTTTTGAGGAACTGAGGACTGAACTCAGGCCCTTGCACTTGCCAGGGAAGTGTTTATTCCACTAAGCCATCTCCACAGCCCCTTGTCAAAGGATTCTGGGTAGAGACTGAGGCTCTAATTTGGTACTCATTCTAAATCCTGACAGGCTGAGGCCGGCCAGATAGCTCAGTAGATTAAAGTGCCTGCTTAGGCAGACGCAGGGACCGGGGTTCGATACCTGGCATGCTGTGTCGGCCCCACCCCTGGGGCACACTGAGACAGTGATTGAGACTGGGGTGTGGTGGTGCACCCCTGTAATCCCAGAACTTTGGAGGCTGAAAACAGGAGAATCACTATGAGTCCGATCTGTGTAGTGAGACCGTGTGGACCCTGTACTAAATACATATAAAAAAAAAAATCAATCAATCAATCCTGACAGGCTGGACCATCTTCCCACTTCACACTCTGGCCTCACTGCCTGAAGCCCCGCCAGTATGAGATCCGTGTTTTTGCCCTGAAGGAAATAGAGAACCATGCAGAACTAGAAGTGGCTGCAGTAATGTCTAGCAGGTTCTCTGCATGCTACATGCTGGAATAACAGGCTCTGGAAGATGTAGAGGTACAAGTCCCAAATGCGTACCCAATTAGAGCATCAGTCTCTATCCAGAATCCCTTAACAAGATCCACGTGTGACTTGTGGGCATGAATGTCCTCACAGTCAACGCCTTTGGACTTTTCTACTGAACACAGATCCAGGCACTGTTCCCTGCTTTCCTGGGAATCTGCCCCAGTTGACCCAGCCCTTCATAAACAGTCCAGAGCTATTGTGCCCATTCTCATAGCTCTCCACATAGATGAAGCCAGTTATGGGCTCTGGGCTGTGAATGAACCCCCCACGCACACCACTCCTGCACTGTGTCTCGTGGAGGCAACTTAGGTGCTGCCCCCTACAGGAAAGAAGGTACCAAGTGCCTTTTCCAGTGTGCGCAGGTGGAGATGCGTGGGCTCTGGGCCAGCTCCCAAGTGCCTCCTCATTGGCCTCGTTAGCTGTCCCTGAAGCCCAACATGGTGCATTCACAGGTCCCTGAGCAGTGAGGCTGGGAGGAGTAGGCACTGTCTCCTGCTCCTTCTGGGACTTGATCTCCTGCCAGCCTCCAGCTGTGGCCCAGGGGGCTGTAGGGCACTCTGCTTGCCGTGAGGCAAGGTTCTTGGCTGGACATCAAAGGCTTGGCGTTTCATCCAGCAGCGGGTGAGAAGAGCAATGAGAGCAGCTCTCCAGTGTGCGAAATCAGCATACTGTCGTGTACTGAGCTCCACTGTGTGTTGCTTCCTGGCCCTAGGTGTTGGCATTTGGCTTAGACAATCTTGGCACTTTTTCTTGTCTTTTGTTTCCTTCCTTCCTTTCCTACATTCCTTTTTTTTTTTTTTTTTCCTTTCTTTTCTCTGATACTGGGGACTAAACACAGGGCCTCTGCAATAAGTAACATCCCCAGCTCTTTTTTATTTTGAGGTAAAGTCTTGTTAAGTCATTTAATTGCCTAGGGAGGGTCCAAACTTCCCATTTCCTGCCTCAGCCTCCCAGAGTGTTGGGATTTCAGATGTGCACCACATCTGGCTTTGACACCCATTTTACAAATGAGAAAGAGCTCAGAGAGACCTTCCACAGGAGCATGGAGAAGGACTATGTCAGCAGGAGAAAGGGATAGGTCACTTCTCCTCCCCAAGCCACTGTCCTGAGAGGCCCCGGGCTCACAACAAAGGCCCTGGGCTTGCAGCAGCAGAACAGGCTCTGATCCTTCCTGGGCCTACGCTAGCACAGCAGCCTGTTTCATCCACTCAGTGGGCATCAAGAAGCATGAGAAAACACACAAGTGCCTGCCCAGGGCCTGTGGCTTTGTCCCTTCCTCGGGGTGGGCCCAGCCTGCCCGGCTGAGGCATTACTCAGAGCACAGTCTGGCTGCACATGGTTGCAAAAGATTTTCCACCGAGCATCCCTGCCCACGCTCTCTCCAGCCCTGCCCCGCTTCTCCTGGCACCTTTCCCAGGGCCCTGCTGAGGCCTCCTGGGGCCATCTTACCCTGCCAAGAGCTGTGCTTTCTTCCCTGGCTGGCCTTCTGCAAAGGGACAGGCACATTCTGGGGAAAGACCAACTTCAGAGCAGGGTTTTGGGGTCCAACATAGTATCTGGGAGAAAGTCTACATTAACTCTTGTTATCTACCCTCTTCTTCCATGTAACTGTACTTTCTAGGAAACTTGTCCAGGAAGTAGAGTGGCAAATAACTCACTGCTCATTTCAGAGGTTTTCTGAGCCATCCAAAGGGATGTCAAGCTGGGAACTATTTGGTCATAGAATGTGTGGATATAGGGGGCCAGGGAGATGGCTCAGTGGAATAAGCGCTTCCCTGGCAAGCGCAAGATCCTGAGTTCAATCCCCCATTCAGCAAATAAATTAAATTAAATTAAATTAAATTAAAAAAATGACCTTTTGGGCTGGTGAGATGGCTCGGTGGTCTGGAGCACCTACTTAGAACAAGCTTAGCAAAGCACAGGGACCACGATTCAATCCCCCAGCACCACATGCCAGCCCGCCCCGCCCCCTGGTGGGCTGAGCTGGACACACACACACACACACCACACACACATAAATAATAAATAAATTTTTAAAAAAAAGAATGTGTGGATATAACTGAACTGTAGATGTAAGGGAAATTTGATATGCTGTATTGTTTTTTAATTAATTAAAATGTCAGTTTAAAAAAAAAAAAGATGGCAAACTGCTTAATTTCTAATAGCATCCAAAGTTTATACCCCGAAACTATTTTTTTTTTTTTTAAAGACAAGGTCAGTCAGTGTAGTTCAGGCTGGACTTGAACTCACTGTGATCCTCCCACCTTAGTCTCTCAGTGCTGGAATTTAAGGTATGGACACCACACCTAGATTCAAAAATGTTTCAACCTTTTGCTTCAAAATCCCCCTTTGTAGTGTCTACTTATGTCACAATCTTTTTATATTGGAGATTGAATGCAGGGCCATTGCACTGACCTCTAACCCAGTCTTTAAATTTTTTTTTTTTAAATATATTTTGAGACAGAATCTGTCACTGAGCTGCCCAGGCTAGGTTTGAACATAGAATTCTCTTGCCTCAGTCTCCCAGAGGGCTGGAATTACAGGCCTGAGCTACGGGCCCAAGAAGTATTGCCATGCTCTCTCCCCACCCCTAATCCAGGCTTCCCCACATGAAAACCCTACCAAAATTGTGTGGCCCCTCAGCCCAATGGTGGTGGCAAACCTATGGTACATTGTACCACGGCGGGCTGCTTTTCATTGAAAGCCCAAAAAGTTTGCCACTGCTGGTCCTGGAGAAACTGCACTGGTCCTCCCTAGAGCAGGAAGGGTTTGACAAATAGGTAGACCTGCTAATGCCCCTGGGAGCCAACACCAGACAGGAACTCTGCAGGTACGAGTCCTTTCTGACCCCTGAGGTGGGAGAGGGCTCATCCATAGAGACAGTTGTGAGAGCAGAGTCTGTCAACACCTGAGAAGGCGTGCTCCAGGGGAACTCCATGTGTGGTCCTTTCATTTTACAGGCAGGAAATAGGACCTGGAGAGGGCTCACACACAAAGCTAGCTAGGACTGCTACAGAGAAGTGAATTAGTGTTTGCAACACGCAGCAGCAATACCACCCGCTGACCTCTAGCCCTCTCTGTGCCTGTTAAATAAAAACCATGGAGGATCCGGTCTGCAGTTCAAACCACACTCAAGTTGGACCCTCAGATGAAAAGACCTTATTAACCTTGAAGCCAGAACCATGCTGATGCTGAGCCTGTGACCCTAGCTCTGTGGTGGGGCTGAGAATCTGCATTTCTGCCCAGCTCGCTGCTGGTGCTGGTGCTGCTTGTCCACAGATGGCTCTTTTGAGAACTATGGCCCAAGAGGAATGAAGGATCGAGAGCACCCTGGCTGGCACCAATCAGGGGCAACTGGAATAGTGAGTCGCCCTCCCCAGCGGTGGCACCTGGTGCTTCTGCAGGTCACGATAATCGATCTGCTTGGCTGCACCTGTGCCCACCTGGGACTATTCTGAGTGTCACCCAGCTTCCACACGAGGGCCAGCCTCCTGGAAGTCTGTGTGCCAAGAACGATTCGAACACTGACCAAGCAGATGAAACCAACACATTCTTTATTGCAGGCTGAAGCTAGGGGGCTTATTCACTCTGGGGCCCTGGATTTGGGGGTATCTCTGCCTGCCCAGGCTTTCCCCAAGAGGCAAGGGCAATCTACCCCAGCAGGGGAGAAAACTTCCAGCAGCAACTCCTTCAGAGGACCTGGGGTGAGGACCCAGGCAGCAGGCAGCTTGTGTGAAGTAGAAAGGCAGGTTCGGAGGGCCTCGCATGCCCAGCCCCATGCCATATCCTAGTGACTGTGGCCACCCCTTCATGGGAAGTGTCACACAGATTCTACAAAGACCTAAGAGGCAAGGTCTCCAGGCCCCAGTTAGGAGGAGGCTGAGCAGACTCAGGTGCCTGGAGGGGGCAGGGGAAACTAAGAGCCTTCACTTCCACTTCAAGGACGTCCCAGGTCACCCCTAGGCTCCTGATTCGGAGTAGAAAGCACTTGAGATCTGCTGGGGACCTTGCTAAAATGCAGGTCCCGACTCGGGCTGCAAAGAGGTTGAGAGGCTTCGTCTCTAACAGGCTCTGGCTGACACTGCAGTTGTGTGTCCACTGCCCATGCTTTCCTCTGCCAGGTGGCAGCCACACGACAGTTTCATGTATCCCAAAGACAAGGACTCTTCCTCAAGAAAACCCCGCTCCAGGTACAGAGGGGGTGGGGCTGGCCCAGCCAGGACTGCACTGGAGCCTCCCATTGCCTGTGTCCAGGGTGGCTGAATCTCATATCGCTGGAGATCCTGCCTGACCGTCTCACCCTGGAAACCCTTCCTCCAGAGCTTGGAGGCAACAAGGTCTCACTTGGGACACAGAATACTGAGTGACAACAGCTAATCAGTGCCCAGCCTGTTGGCCCCTTGCCAAGAGAGGAGACCTAGGAGGGAAAGGGACACATGCATTGGGGGTGGTTCTGACATGGGGCTCTTGATCTGAGCCCTGGACAGCCTAAACTTAGGAGTGAAGTGGCCGAGCTCTGCCTAAGTGCTGAGGTCTGAGGCCTCTCCAGACCCAGAGTACAGGCCAGGTGGGGCCTGGGGCACTGAGTTGCATACTCCACAGGAGAGGTGTGGGAGGTAGACACTAGGGACCCAGAGCACAGGTTTTACCAGGAGGCAAAAGTCCCAGGACTCTTCTGGAGGGGGTCAGCCACCCCGGACTGTTCCAGTTTTCTCACTAAAAGTCATACATCCTGAGAACCCCCCAGTCTCTGGCAAAACAGGATGGCTGGTCACCTCCTGGCTGGCCACACCCTAGACTCAGGGTGAGGGCCTTGAAATAGGACGTTAGGTGTGGCCTTGGAACTGGCTGGTTACAAAGCCGATGGTCCAGTGTCTTGTCATCAAGGGGCCATGATGAGGCTGCAGTGACTTGGAGACCACTGCCACAGGCACACATGGCTTTGTTCTCTCTGAGCTACCTTCCTGGGGCTCCAGGGTTGCTAAGCAGGCCACAGAGGCCACACCCTGGGGAGGGTTGAGCACTCCAGTCCCAACAGTCCCCTTTGCCATGAGGACAGATGGAGTAGGCCTGTTTCCTCACTGGGTCCTGGCTCCCTCAGACATTCTCGCCCTGCTTGCCGGGCTGCCCTCTCCACGCATGCCCAGGACTCCTGGTCCAGGCCTTTGTCAATCCAGGGATCCACAGTGCTGGAGGGGCCTGAGAGGAGCTCATTCCGTTCAGATGTCAGGAAGAAATAAATACACGGGGATTGTCCTCTTCTCCCCTCGGGGCAGTAAGTGGCTCTCGGCACTAGAAACAGCCTGAACCCAGAGGGCCAGAAATGCTCAGCGGTGCTCTTCCTTGGGCTCCAAGTGCCGAACAATCTAAGGAACTCAAGGAGGAAAGGCTCTGGGCTGCCACCTCTGCTCCCAAGTAACAAGGCTTAGAGAGTCTGTAAAGTGCCAGCACTGCCACGCCACTGCCCTTGGGGTGGTCCAGGGCCCACTACAGCTCTAAGCTAGCTGCCCAGCCGGCGGCGGCACCCTCCCGCCACGCATGTCCGGCCCACCCCCATTCCCCGAAGCGCAGACTCCTGTGGGCCTGTGGGCCACCCTCCTCCAGGATGCCGGGCCAATGGCCTCTGGCCCTCGCTGGGTGGGCACAGAGGGTGGCCTAAGGTGGAGGGGCTCGTGCACCCTCAGGAGACATGAGCATGTCAAACTTGATGAGGGGCGGAGCGATGACGCGCACCTCGGCGCTCAGCGGGTTGAAGCGGAGGTTGATGGTGCGCAGGGCTGGCATGGCAGCCAGCTTCTCCACAGGCACATCTGCTGGGGAGAGAGGCGACAGGTTAGAGCCAGAGCTTGTGGCAGAGGGACAGGAACAGGAGACCTGGAATATCTGGGGGCAGGGGCAGGCCTCAGGGCCCATGGTGCAGGCTCAGCTCCTGGCCTCCCAGACACTGGAGCCACCTAGAGGAAAGCATTCTTTCCAAAGAAAAGCAAAACAATAAAAACTGGTATGAAATTTCAAAACATTGTAGGAAAGTAACAATGGTTAGTGCATTGTACAGTATCTTCAAAGTAGTTGCTTATCTTACAAATACAGGCATGAAAAACTGATCAAAGGTTTCAAAAACCTTTTTCAATGAGCTAGTAGCAATTAGTAGCATAACTATCGTAACTATCATATATATGTATATAATAGTTTTTCCTTTTCCCTTTTCTCCTTTACCCCATTCTCGTGTCTCTCTCTTTTGAGCATTTTCTTCCCATTTCACAGTATCTATTGTACATTTGGGTCTTATTTATTCTTTTGGCTTCTTACATTAGGGAAACAAAATGTTTACACACGCAAGACCAGTTCACTTCACTTATGAGTACGGACTCAAGTTGCATCCATTTACCTTAAATGTCTCAATTTTACCGTTACAGCTGAGTAATACTCCATTGTATAAAAATATCCTATCTTTGATCTATTCCTCAGTTCTTTCCCAGATTTTTGCTATGACAAATTGTGCTGCTATAAACATGGGTGCACATATACTGCTGTGGGATAATTCTTGGAAGCGCCAAGGGGAATAACCGTGTCAAATGGGACCTCTAATCCTAGGTTTTCTGAGGAATCTCCACACTGATTTCCACAGTGGCTGTACCGGTATGCTCCCAACAGTGGTAAAAGGTTTTTCTCCAAAGCCCTGCCAACATTTGATTGTAGATTTTTTTTTTTTTTTTTTTAAATACAAGATCTCAATAGGCAGCTCAGACACACAGTGATTCTCCTGTTGTCAGCCTCCCAGCACTGAAATTACAGGCATGTGTCACTACGTCCAGAGTTGGTTGCTGGCTCAGCGTACCTGGAGGCGTCGCAGGCGTGGCATGTGGTACCAGGGATTGAGCCCCAATCCCTGCGCTTGCTTGTGCAGGCACTTAGTCTGCTGAGCTATCTTGCCAGCCCAATTTGGGTTTTTTTTGGCTGGCTCAGGCTGCCTTAAGGGTGAATCTGGTGTGGCATGTGGAGCTGGGGATCAAACTGCAGTCCCTGAGGCTGAGTTTGCCCAAGCACGTGCTTTAAACTGAGCTAACCCGCAAGTCCCCTGTTCATTTCTTGATGATAGCCATTCTTACTGAGATAAAATCTAAGTGTTGTAATTTACATTTCTTGAATGGCCAATGATGTTGAACATTTTTTCATGTATTTTGTCATTTGTATTTCATTTTAAGAGGTATGTGTTCTCTGATGTTCATTTTTGGATTGGGTCTTTGAATTTGAAGGGGTCTAATTTTTTTTCAATTCTTTGTATTGATATGTCCTTTGTCTAAGGAAGTTAGCTAAATTTTTTCCCACTCTGTGGGTTGTCTTTTCACTCTTTAAATGTATTTTTCGTATTGTGTCTACAGGGTCTCGCTACACAGATCAGACTCATGGTGATCTTGTTTTTCAGCCTCCCAAATGCTGGGATTACAGGCGCACACCACACCCAGTCTCATTTGCTCAGTGCATCCCAGGGGTGGGACCAGTGTCTCAGGCCCGGGAGTGAACCCCCGGGCCCTCAGTTTGCCTAAGCAGGTACTTTAATACGCTGAGCTATTGGGCCGGCCTTTCACTCTAATTTTTGATGTACAAAAGCTTTTTAATGGGATGAAATCCCAGTTATTCTTTGTAGAGTTGTTCATGTAGTTTTGGTTTTATTCATGAAATCTCTGCCTACCCTTATCTTCAAGATTTCTACCTACTTTCTCTTTCAATGGATTTAGTGTTTGCTTTAATATTTAGATCTTTGATCCATTTTGACTTGTTTATTGCATGGTGATAGGCACGGGTCTAGTTTTAATCTTCAGTATGTAGACAACCAGTTTTTTCTAGTATCATTTATTAAAGAAGCTTTCTTCCAGTGAACATGTTTTTTTTTTTTTTTTCAGTGAACATGTTTGACCCCTTTGTCAAAGATAATTTGGCTGAGTGTGTTTGTAATTGTATCTGCATATTTTAATCTCATTCATTGATCCTTAGGGCTTTTTTTTTTTTTTTCCAGTCAAAGATAATTTGGCTGAGTGTGTTTGTAATTGTATCTGCATATTTTAATCTCATTCATTGATCCTTAGGGCTTTTTTTTTTTTTTTCCAGTAGCATGCGGATTTTATTACAGTGTTTTGTAGTATAACTTCACACCAGGGATCGTGATGCCTCCTGCTTTGCCTTTGTTGCCCAAGACTGCCTCGCTATTCTAGGTCTCTTCTGGCTCCAAGTGAATTTTCTCTAGTTCTGTGAGGTATGTTAATGGTACTCTGACTGGGACTGCGTTAAATCTGCATAACAATTTTGGGAGTATGTCTACTTTCACAATGTTGGTTCTTCCTATTCGTGAGCAAGGGTTATCTTTTAATTTTCTGAATATCATGAAGGAAACTATTCTTAAAAATAAAGACCATCTGGGTGTGGTAGTGCTGACCTGTGATAATAGCACTCAAGGGGCTGCGGCAAGAGACTTGCTGCAAGTTCTAGGCCAGCCCGGGCTAGTGGGTGTAAGGCCAGCCCGGACCACATAGTGAAACCTTGTTTCTCAGGAAGCTAAACAGAGCTTCCATGTAAGCCAGCAATTTCACACCTAGGTAGAACTGAATGAATTAAAGTCAGATCCTCAAGAATGGTTACAGGTTAGTATTCAGAGCAGCACTAACCACAAAAAGTGAAAGTCTATAACTAGAAGAATGGATAAACCATGGTCATGCAAAGAAATGAGTCAGCGATTAAAAAAAAAATCACTTTGATTCAACATGAATAAACACTAAAAACAACGAAAGAAAGCCCAGGAGGGCAAGTGCTGTGTGTTTCTCTTACAAGGCATCTAAAAAATCGAGTTCATGGAGACAGAAAGTAGAACAAGCTGGGGAGATAGCTGAGTGGCATAAGCGCCTGCCTAGCAAGTGCAACGACCTAAGTTCGATCTCCAGCTAAAACAACAAAAAAACCTAAGCTAAAATCCACTGACCTCATACCCCCCCCCCCAACACACACACTAGAATGGGGCCGTGCTGGATATCTCAGTTGTTTAAACCACCACTTGGGCAAATGCAGTCAGGTGCATGGGACCAAGGTTTGATTCCCAGCTTGAGAAGCTGCACCACACCCATCCTTGAGGCAGCCTGGAGTAGCCAAAAAAAAATTCTTCTCAGAAAGTAGAACAGAGGTTCCTGAGAGCTGGGGAAGAGGTGATAATAGTTATTGCTTAGTAGATACAGCTCAGTTGAAGGAATGGGAATATTCTAGAAATGGATAATGATGGTTTCACAGTATTGTGAATGTGCTTAACATCACTGAATTATTTGCTTAAAATGGCAAGTTTTGAGTTACAGTGTCACAATTTTACTTGAGGCAGGGTGTGGTGAATTAACTGGAGGTCAACATGTAACGCCCAGCTGAACTGAGTCAGCCTGCTGCTGGGTGCGGAGGGCCCACCTGAGGACTGCTGCCAGCATCGTAAGAGGCAGGACTGGAGGGAAGATGGTGTGCTGCTGATTGTCTGGGGAGAAGCCTGTCGTGAACGCGGCTACTCTCATCCTCAGAGAAGCCCAGTCCTCACTGCTGCGAGGATGGCTGTGGCTTCCATCAGGAAGCTCTGGTCCTCACCCTGAGCACCACTTCCTGGCTCTAGTGCAGCTCCCTCGGCTGCTGGCCCAGATCCTAGACTTCCTGGCTTCTGCTGTTGACCTTGGGGCCTTCTCAGAGCAGAGTACTGAAACAGTCTTGCATGAGACACTCTGATGGGCTCTAGGCCTCCAGCTAGACCTGTGGAGGACACTGCCACAAGCTCTAGGTCTTCAACTCGACTCATGCGAGACATTGCTGTAGGATCCAAGACCCCAGCTGGATTCTTTGGGTCTCTAGTGTGTGGACGGATCTCATACACTCTTTTGCATTTGACTCTTTGGGTGAATATTATAAAATAATCCTATAAATTATGTGTTCTTATTAAATTTTTTATCTTGTAAGCCCTAACTACAACACAGGGTCTCATTATGTAGTTCAGAATGGCCCCGAATTCCCAGCAATCCTCCTGCCTCAGCCTCCCAGATGCTAAGGTCACGTGTGGGTGTTAGCACACTCAGCTTTGGGTGTCACAATTTAAAGAAATACAGACTATGCCAAATCCTATGGTACTGTACACTTTAATCAAATTTCATGGTATATGATATATATGATGTATAGTTATAATCACCTAATAAGTTACATATTTCAATATTACTGTTAAAAAACAAAAGCTTCTGGCCCTGAAATTAAGAATATCCTGGCTGAGAGAAAAGAGGCTGCATGTGAGGCGCGTGGGAATTCTTACTGATCACAGACACCAGTCTCCAGCCCAGCGGTAGCAAACCTGTGGCACATATGCTGCAGCAGGCTTATCGCTGAAAGCTCTAAAGGGTTGGCCATCACTGCTGCAGTCTCTGGTGCCGCTGAGGAGACCCAGAAGGAGGAAAATCTTGGTTGCATCTGAAGACCTCACCCTACCAGTACTCTCGATGCTGAGTCCCCTGGTGTCACTGCCTGTTAAGAGCTCTCTGGGAAGTCCCAGGCCATGGTGTGTGGGCCAGGACCCAGAGTCACTCTTCTCTGGAATCAGAGCAAACTGACCTCCTGCAACAACTCTAATTTCCAACAAATATGTGCATTGTGGAAATCAAGGCTTAAGTTATCCTCCCCTCAATATACGTAAGGAGGGCCGTGGAGCTAGCTCAGCGGTCTAAGTGCCTGCTTAGGCAAGCATAAGGACCAGCTACTGAGACTGGGCACGGTAGTGCATGCCTCTAATCCCAGTGATGGGGAGGCTAAA